GGGCTTTTTGCGCTTTTTTTCTCTTTTTTTTCCTTTTTTTAGAAAGATTTTCGGTGCTTGCGGTGCACTGCAGGAAGGGCAGTGTCGGCGTTTCTGTGGGACAATGGGAATTTAAAATCCTCCTGTCTGCCTGTGTGCCACCATTAAATATAAGCAGTTGCCTTTCGCGTCGTCGCACTGTATCCCCTTCTGTTACTCCAGCCGTTTTTATGTGCGAGATGCTCAGTTATTTTTCTCTCAACTTTGTATTTTGACGGAGTCAGCGTTTTTCTGGCTTTATGGTAATTACGTCGGAATAAACCACAAATTTGTTGCAGTGCTTGAAGCACAGCAAGAAATCATGACCATAAACAAAGGTCAACTTTCTCAGTGGAAACAGCAAATATCTGGGTCTTTGCTATTCAACCAAGGTCAAGTTAACATGCCAAAAAATAAAAAGTTTAGCTCTAGACTGTGTTAATGGGTTAGGCTGCTGTTTTTCAGTGCCCCTGAATTTGTCTGATACCTTCCAGGTGGTGCTAGTACACCCCCTTTTTTTCTCCTTTCTTTTTTTGGTGATTAATTTCTGGACACTGTTGCCAGGCAGGACAGAAAAGGAAGCTGAATCACTAAATTTAGTCTTATGCAGCAGACTTCATGCAGATTGCTTAATGCAGTTAGAACCATCTCTATTCATTTGAACTAAGAATCGCAGTGGAAAGCACGATTTCCATTACAGACCTTGCAGGCAGGGCTTGAAATGGCAGCAGTTGCAACTGTGTCAGTGTTCAGAGGCGGGGTTATAAATTAAAGCAAATTAAAACCTCTGCTTCTGTGAGGTGAATCTGGCAGTCTCCTTCTATAGGTGAGATCTGCCCCTGTATCCAGCAGTGAATATGAATGGGGCAGAGACCCCTGTTTCTGGGACACCATGTTGCTCAGTGCTGTAATGAGTGTGTAAATCGCTCTTATTCTGGAAGAGAAGCACACATAATGCATAAAATGTGTGCAGGTGAAATAGCATATTTTTTTTTCCCCTTCTAGATGATGACAATTCAGAAGAAGGCCTTCACACCATCCATTCGGGAAGGCATGAATATGCATTCAGCTTCGAGCTTCCACAGACGTAAGTGCCCTCGCGCAGTCCTTGGGCACTGCTGCCCACCTGCCTGAGCAAAACTCCTGCTGTGGGTGGAGGGGAAACCTTTTCAATGGTGGTAGGAATTGTGCTTCGACATGCAGCAGAGGACATCATCTCATTAAACTGAAGAGGTTGCTTTTAAACTGATACATGCTTTGCTTTTTTGTAATTTCCACAAAATGGGAGCTCATTGCTGCCCAGCTGCTCACTTGATTTTGACTGCATCCTACAGACTCATTAGGTTTTCTAGTATCTTACCCCTTCCAAAGAGGAGGGAGAGGAATTTGGGCTGTTACTGGAGTCCTGCAGAGTGGCTGAGTTACCTTCTAACCCAACCAGCAGTTTACTGGAGCCATACAGACCAGCAACTAGAGATAAGATCACAGCTGAATTGTGATATGTTGAGTTTAACTACATCTGAACAAAAGAGGAGGTTGTTCTCGTTCAAACAGGATGTATGTACCCAGGCTGGCCTTTATGCTGGAAGCCTGGATGGAAGTAAGCAGAAGGATGGGTGGATGGAGCCAGAAAAATTCCCATACCTAATCCCGTTTGTCTTGGAAAGCAAAGGTGAAGCAAGAGTTGAGAGCAAAATCATTAACAATAAAGATTGTTCCCCCACCCCCCAAGTCTGAAGTGTGTAATGTAGATCTTGTGAATGGGCAATCTATACATAAAGGAGTCACCAGTATGGAAAGCGGCTAAAAATACAAGTTGCAATAAAATTAAATACTTGAACAGAGAGGGTCTTGGAATGGATTGGGAAAAGGAGGTGTTTGCCGTAAAAGGCAAGTGGTGAAGTCATTAAGGTTAAAAAAATTTGGCAGTGCGCTATGTGGAATAGCTCAGTACCTAATATTAAAGCTAGTAAACCATCTGTTTTATTAGAGGTGCTGGTTTTAGCAGAACCTGCAGATGATAAACACGGGTCAGTTTCAAAGTGAACAGTGCAGGACTTCACAGTTGATCTTACTCGAACAGTGGAGAAGACCTGTACACATGGAGATTTTAAAGACAATCTAGCATTCTGAAAATCTCAACCTGAAAAAGAAATAAGGCTAATGCTGATCTTCCCTGGAGTTGGAAGGGGCATTTAAATATGAAAAACCAAAACATCATACATGAGCATGAAATGCTGAGCTTGAAGTGAAGCAGATAGCCAGCAAAGTATCACAAGCATTGGTCAAAATGGAGGTTCTTTTAAAGTGACCTAAAGGAATAACTGTGAAACCAGCTGTTGATAATACTGGAAAAATGATGGCTGGTGTTAAAACCTGAAGTTTGACACTGCCTGCTTATTTTGTTGTTTTGAATCCATAGAATACTGCCGAAATTTGCTTAAACTACAGAGCAACAGCGGAAAGGAAGACATGCACTGGCCTTACTGATTTTTGCCCTTGGGAGTATGGGGCAGGATGAAACATTGAAGACCAATTAGAAAATCCTTTCATTTGAATTTCTAGGAAGAGTAAACATTTCAGATTTGCAAATAAAGAAGTCAAACCTGTAACTGAAGGAACCATTCTAGTAAAGTACTAGAGTGGCTATTGCCTATGGAAGATAACTGAAGCTTTGAAAATAATCTGTTTATATATTACAATGTATTCAAAACAGTACAATAGAAAAATCAGTTCCATAAAAATAAGGATAAAAGTTATAGGAAACTACTGTTAGTTGAAGATAACTTGAATATAAACAACTTTTTTCTTTCATTTTATGATGTTACAGGAAAAAAAGATGCTGAAAGGTTTGGAGATCCTTTCCACATCGTTTTTCCTCCAGCTCCCAAAAAGAACTTCTTTCATCTGTCAAAGTTCAGAGCAGAATAGGCTTGAAAATTCTATGTATATATATGATTATATACGTACATGTATGTAGGAGAGAAATGGTTTAAACTGGTCTCATCAGGGTAGAGGAAAGTCAGAAGGTACTCAACATAGCCTACCTCTTCAGAACTCTAAACTGAAATACTTGCTCTGCTGAAGGCAAAACAAATGGCAAAAGTCCTGAGTTACAGCTAAAATTAACCAGACACTGAGATACCAGCTGAGTAAGCTAGACAATGATTTACAAAATACGATATCCAAAACAATAATTGCTTGATACTAATACTAATTTTAAGTTGGTAGTCTTAATTTGGCCTTATCTAGAGCAAAGCATGCCCTTTTGTGTAAGTGGCCTCTTGACTTTAAAAGGAAATGTGTACTCTCCTGGCATTTTTCTAGTACAATTCTGTAACTGATTCTTAAAATCTGTGCAAAACTGTAGCAGGGTGAATTGAAGATGATTTTTTCTCCCATCTTTAATCATGAACTTTTTCTGAGATATAGAAACTTTGCAAATAAGTTATGCTGCATTAAATACTGCAGTACATTAAAAATGCAGTTGTACATACTAATCCCTGATCTGATCAATTGTGTCATTATTAGACAGAAAGACTTTACTCAATTTTGACCTTTGTGTCCTGCACAGACCACTTGCTACCTCATTCGAAGGCAGACATGGCAGTGTGCGCTATTGGGTGAAAGCCGAATTGCATAGGCCTTGGTTTCTACCAGTAAAATTAAAGAAGGAATTTACAGTCTTTGAACATATAGATATCAACACTCCTTCATTACTGGTAAGAATTGACAGAATTACTCATTCTTTATTTCTGGCATAAAAATAATGAAGTATAATAACTGAAACAATACCAACACCTAATTTTACCTAATATTTATTTGCTAGTTTAGTTACAGCTGATGTTCTGTTACATCTGTTCAGCAACTCTGTAACTACTGGCATTTTGAAAACTACCTGTTTATGTACTTGGGAGTTGCTTCACGTTTAAGATGTGTAAAATGGATTTATCAAATTAAATTGATAATACTGAACTGTAAAATGTCACTAAGAAGGAAAATTTTGATAACTGTTCCTCTTTGATTTTTTGTAATCTATGGGAGGAGCAGTGGAACTTAAAGGAATACTGTAGTGAGAGACTAACTTAAAAATGCAAAGTGAAAATTGTGCTGGCGTGCATAATTGATAATTTCCATATGGGTAGTTTCCTACCAATGGGGAGAAATTATCACAATTCTATACAATCTTCTGAAATGTCATTTCATTTAGAATAATTTCAGTATCACAACTGCTTTCAATGAGGAATTGATTTCAATCTGGCCTAAAATTCTTTTTCTTTTTTTCCTCCTCTTCCTCAATTTCTAGTCTGTGGAGGGGGAAAGAAACCTCAAAGTCCATTGAAATAGGTTTCTTGTGTGTATGGGTGAAACACCAGACTTGAAAAGGGATGTTGGCCTTGCACAAACTCCATTAAAGGACTCCCATTTGACTTTAGTGGGCTTTGGATCAAGTCCTAAATCCGGATACTATGTAACATGACAAAGTCTGTTTAATGTAGATGAAATGGGGTCATTCCGAAACAGAGGAAATAGCAGGAGTCAGGGTTACAGTACTTCAGCTCAGTTATTGCTTCTGCAATACAGTGTACTGGAAAGATGTTCTGGTTTACTGACAAATGAAAAGGTCTGCCAACAATATGTTGGGATCTGTAGGCTATAAAGCCTTTTGTTACACAGTGATAATGTATAGAAACTGTTTTTAAGTGTGATTGTAGTGTGAAGTGTGGCAGAAAAAGCAGTGTTGATGAGTAATGGAATTAAAATAAACCTTACATCTGCATAGTTTCACTTGAGTTTTTTCCTCTAAATAAAACTAGCTATGTTTATCAAAATACCTAAGTACATTATGAAAGTCATTTTTTTGTCCTGATAAAATAGATGAAGAGATTAGTGGAACTCTTAATTAAATGGGAAATGTTATTCTTTTCTTGCAGTCACCCCAAGCAGGCACAAAAGAAAAGACTCTCTGTTGTTGGTTTTGTACCTCAGGCCCAATATCCTTAAGTGCCAAAATTGAAAGGAAGGGCTACACCCCAGGTACGTAACAGAAGTAATTGTAGGAAATGTTTTTCCTTCCCTTTTCAAATGACAGTTTGTACTTAGTGCTTTTTATATAAACGAAATATTTAAACTACTCTTACCACCTCAGTCTGCATTCAGCAGTCCTCTTGTTGTTGTTAATGGCGACTAATTCTGTTAACTAATGCTAGCTCTGTCTCCAGATTGTCAAAGGACATCTGCTTCTGTTAGAGCTGTGCGTTTTTGTTTTGGATCCTATTCGTGTTAGTGGATGTTTTTCAAGGTAGAGCATTGCTAGCAGTGTCCAGTGTGTTACAACAATGAACAGAATGTGTCAATCTGCTTAAGCTGCCTTATAAAGAGAACATGAAATTCTGGTTTGTTTCAGGTGAATCAATTCAGATCTTTGCTGAGATTGAGAACTGCTCTTCCCGTGTGGTGGTGCCAAAGGCAGCCATTTACCAAACGCAGGCATTTTATGCCAAAGGGAAAATGAAGGAAGTCAAACAGCTTGTTGCAAACCTGCGTGGAGAATCCTTGTCATCTGGCAAAACAGAAACCTGGAATGGCAAACAGTTGAAAATTCCACCTGTTTCCCCTTCAATCCTTGACTGTAGTATAATCCGTGTGGAGTATTCACTGATGGTATGTCAGATGGTCTGTTTCGCTTGAGCATGAGTAGTTTCCACCATTCCTTGTAAACTGCTAGCCCAGCATCCTGTGCTGACTAGTTAGAAAAGGAATACATGCCCTCATCTTAGTGTCCTGACAGGAGTTCTGTAAATAAATTTAGTTTAAATCATGCATTTCTTAAGAGTTATGGTGTGCCAGCTAAGCAAATGTGTTACCAGTAAGTGACACTTCTATGTGAGGGCTTATGTTAAGAATCCTGAGCTGCGTTTGACTTGAGGAGCTTTTTGTCTCTGTAGGGGGCTTGGCCCTAAAACAGACAGTAAGAAACTTAAGCTCCTTGTGGAGAATTCCGTGAGGAGAGAACTTAGTTTAAAAATCATCAAGTGCTCATACAAACCTACGTTTTAATGATACACCTCTGTTGTTGTTCTTTAGGTATATGTTGATATTCCAGGCGCCATGGATTTATTCCTTAACTTACCACTGGTCATTGGTACCATTCCTCTACACCCATTTGGTAGCAGAACATCAAGTGTGAGCAGCCAGTGTAGCATGAACATGAATTGGCTTGGTCTGACGCTGCCTGAAAGACCAGAAGGTAACTTGACAATACAAATCTCAATCAATTTGCTAGTCTGTCTTCATTTTCATCTGCTTTATTCACTGCTGTCGTGCGAACAGACCCAAATTACATCCTTCGTAATAAAGCCCACAGGAAATCTCTTGTGGCTGTTTCCCTGTCGCCTGCCTGTCTTCTGTAGAAGAACACGGTTGCCTCCCTGCTTTCCTCTCTCAAGGACGAGTGGTGAAATCCAGCTGCTTGGAAGCTGGTGCAAATGAAGGCGCAGAACGCCGTTGTACCGGTGTGGTGTTAATTCTGCCCGTGGTATCGCAGTTGCATCCTTGGTTATAAGGCATTGTAACCTGTCATGATAGCAGTTCATGGTGTCCCAGCCTTAGTAGCCAAGGCTTTTGAAAAGAATGTAATTTGTTTCAGTGGGAAATCTCTACTGTCAAAGGAGAATCTATCTCCTTACCTCTGTTTTCCCATATCTGATAAATGTCCCTTTTTTATGTACAAGTCCCAGACGTGGATTTGTGGAGTCCAGAGGAATGTGATGTTCTAATCCTTCCTACCTGTATGGAAATTCAGTATTCTGAGTATGCTTCAGATTTTAAGGGGATAATTAAACCACAATAAACAGTGGTCAGTCTGATCTTGGATTTGAGCATGATCTTAAAACAGCCTACTTTCGCTTTCATGTTCATCAACTGTTAAAAAGTCACTGTACTAATTTACCTATGTGCTGGTGCATTTTACAATGATAAAAGTTTAATATTAATCTTGTTACATATTTTGACATGCATAAGAACTTGTTGTTCGAACTGCGTGTACCTTCTCCCTGCAGCACCTCCGAGCTATGCAGAAGTGGTCACGGAGGAACAACGACAGTCGAGCCTTGCACCCGTAGGTGTGTGTGATGACTTTGAGAGAGGGCTTCCAGGACCGTTGTTTGCATACATCCAGGAGTTCCGTTTTCTGCCTCCACCCCTGTATTCAGAAGTAGGTACCTCAGAATATGATGGTTAATTCACTGTTCTTCTGAATTCTGTCCTCTGGAATAAATGTAGGAAGTTGTTTCTCCGTCCTAAAACCAGGAGAAGTCATTGAAGTGAACAGGGGATAAGGTGACTTTGTTTTAACAAAGCACAGGTGAATTGCATCTAGAGTTTTCAGGATTCTTCACAGTTCTAATGCTTTATAGAAAATGCCAAACTGTGGAGTAACATGATGATATCATTAAAACTTTGTGTTGCATACATAAGATACCGTGTTGGTTAACACCAGCGTTTTGGGTCTATAGATGCACAGTATGCTATTGTTTTTCAGCTCTTACATCTTTCTGAAACCACTCTTGTGCAGTTTTGGTTCTGTGTATGCAAGGGCTTTCAGAAGTTCATGTAGAGAAGGTACAAATCTATTCTTTCTGACTTAGGTTTCTGTAAATACAGTTTCCCCAACATTTCTGGCTGCGCTTTTAGTTCTGTGAAAGCCATTTGATAACTGTGACAGCTTCAAAAGCTTTCCATTTTCGTATTTTTCAGGAAAAAGCAGTGGTATAGGACAAAAGTAAAATAGTGTCCTTTGGATAAATCTTGCTTGAATTCACCCACAGTTGATTTTTTTCTTTTCCCCTCTTGAAATGCTAATCTGCTATTGAGTGAGCAGAGGGGCATGGTTTTTGTGTGCTGCAGACTTCTCTGAGGACTCTTCTTTTGTATCTTAACATTAGAATACAACTCCAGTCTCTTCATTTAGGTGCTTAGAGATTTAGAAGGTTTTTGTCCTCAGAAATGGTTGTGTGACATCAACTGATAAGAATGTTGACTAAACTATATACTAAACTATATACTATATACTTAAACTACTCTTACTATGCGGTTTTGGAGACGTTAGCAAGTTGTTCTTCCTTCTGTGGAAAGGAAGAAGGTGTGACATGTGGAACATGAACTTCTAAGATGTTTTATGGGGTGTTTAAGGATTAATTACTTGTAAATTAAAACTAGAATGACCTTTTTTGAAGCAAAATGTCTTCTGAAATGAAGTATTTGAAGTTGCATATTTAGTGGCGAGTCAAGCTGTGGTTTTAGTGTACAGTAAATAATTCAAAATATTTCTGTGTTACTAAAGTAGATTTTTTTCGACCTTTTTCTAGTTCTTTGTGCTTATCCTTAAGTTACCATCAACCTGTAGTTTACAATTTTCCACTGTACTTAATTACTAAGTTTTCATTCAATGTGCTGTCTAATTGACTGCAGGTTTTTTAATTACCTGAATAACCTTTGGATTGGGAATGCTATTTATTGCTACATCTGTCTTAAACTTGTCAGCTTTGTGGGTTTCTCTTTGGATTGGTTAATTTCTAGCAGTTGACTCAAAGTTCCTTGGGTTGTGTTCTTTTTTCTTTTCTGGTTAGATTGATCCAAATCCAGAGCAGTCCACGAATGAGAGACCATCCTGCCCCTCTCGCTGAAGGAATCCGTAACAAGCTGACTTCACTTGGGTTTTGAATTGTACCTGCCATGTTGAAGGTCGAGGCGATGTAGTGGAGACACGCTTTCAAAGGAAGTGGTTTTGCTCTTGCCAGTATGGCAAATAAATGAAAACAACCTGTGATCATGCTTTGAAGCCTACAGTAACATTGTAGGACTGCTCCACATGCTTGAAGACCTGAGCTTTTTTTTTTCTTCCCCCCCTGCCCCCTCTTAAATACTGGCACATACTAGGAGCAGCCTTACTAACCTACAGTCATGTGTGTCAAAACACTCAAACCACATTGTAAGAGAGGGATGGCTTCCTCTTACGATTTGGAAATTTGCACATGCTCATTGCTTACGTTGTGCGGTTCAGTGTCACTACAGCTTTTTCTCATTTATGCTGGACGGTTTTTACCCCCCTCTTGGTTTGTGGTCCGCACAATAAGGAGCAAAAGAAAGCTTTGACAACAAAACAACAGCAACAGACTTTGACAAATGCACTGACTTTTCTTTTTTTAATTTAATGTAGCCTGGACTTTACCTGCATATGCACATGCTCAGAATTGTCCTAGTAGGCTGATCATGTATCACCTCTTCAGCTTGGATCCTGTTGTGGATTTATTTACAAACATCAAATGCCTTCAAGCCAATCCTTCTTGCTGTATGTTTTGCAGCCTACTGTAGTAGATAAGCAACAGAGGTGGGGCTGGGGTGGGGGTTGGAGAGCTAATAGAAAGAAACTAATAGACTTCATCAAGATTGTATACCTTCTTGATTTCTTTTAAGAATTTGTTGCCTTTCTACTATTATCGCAAAGCAGCATTTTGTTACAGACTGCCTAAAAATCACTTAATCTCAGGTGAACTCATCACTTGCCAAACTGTTGGAATGCTATTTGTTTTTTATGTTGCACTGTTGAGTTACTTCTTGTTTTTTTTGTTCTGTGTTTGCGTTTCATTTTTTGTTCTTTGAGAGGGGGATCTGGAATAGGGACATACACAAAAGTTAGAAAACCCACCCTCATTCCCATTGCTGTTTCTGCATTATGAAAAAAACGTTCAAGTTGTGAAGCTTTAAAAAAACAAGGCACAAGTGAAAGGAGCACCAGCAGACACCAGCTCAGCCTCAGAAAATTTTTAAAAGGAAATAGTCATATGCTGTCTAGGATTCATAGGCAGATCGATATCTCAAGTAGTAGGGATGGGAAGGGAAAGTAAATTTATTTTTGTATGTAGTTACCTAATCACCAAAAATTCTATATGTAATGAGTCTCTAGTAGAAAGTATATTTCAAACTGCAGGAAAAGCTTGGACTATGCTAAGAGCTCAGTTTGTGCACTTTGTATTATCTTCAGGGTTTATGATACTGTAAAAATAGTAAGACTAGAAGCATAATTAAACTGAGCAGGGTCAGTGTTACCAGCCATACCCAGATACCGGTTAGCTAGAGTTGCTTCGATGACTGCATCTTCTGTGGTGCTCTCGAGCTTTAAAACAGGACAGCGAATTTAACCGTATGTTCCTTCAGATGGTGAGAAATGGCGTGGAGAGCGCTCTCACCCTTGAGTGTGCCCCGAGGAAGCAGAGAGTGCAGTGGAGCCATCAGATGTGCTTACAGCGATGCCAGCACGTCGATGCTAGAGATGTACGACAAAAGTCAGCTTTCCTTCTCAAACTGTGTGACACGGACCATTGACAAAGGGACAGGCTTCTGGTGTTGACGGCTTGAACAAATGGGGATGTAATCTGTCAAGCATGTCTCTCCTTGTGCAATAAAACGGCTCGGAAGGGAGCGGGGGAGGGGAGGCTGGTGTTGCTGCGTGGTGCTCGTTCGTAAAAACCTCCGCCTTGTTTTTGAGGCTTCATGAATGCGACAAAACAATAGGCTTTTTCCATAAGTGGCCTTTATGAGAACATGAATGATGATTTCATGTTTCAAAAATGACAACAGGGTGATAAAATATAAATGAGTCGCGTTTTAAGTGATTCAGTTAAAAGGCTTGGGCTTTGAGCAAGAGTATTGGACGAGAAGGAAACTGGGTGATGTCTTAGGTTTCTAGGCCAATTTTGTGGATGTCCCTTCCCTCTGCCTTCTCCAACCAGACAATTTTAAAAGCTGATGGGATCGTTGGCATAAAAGGGCATTTGGTGGTTTTACTTTTTTTTTCCTTTTTTGTTACTCTGTTAACAGACTAGGGAACAATTGCTGGTATACATAGCATTAAAGTACGTATCACAATATAATGGAAAATTGCATATGAAGCAGGATTGACCAATATCGTAGTAATTGATGTGGCATCACAGCCTGTGTGATTAGAGTGAAAAATTCTATAACCTTACCAAATAGACTTTTGGTTCGAATTACGTTGTTAGTTGTTCAGAGGCATTACTCTTCCACAAGTATTGGTCAATTCTCAGCGTTCTAAAACATGAGGTTCACAGTTGTAGCCCAGTATTTGGTATAGAATTCTGATCTGAATTAGGAAAAAGTAAGTAAAATCCAAACGTTAGAGAAACAAAGTGCAATATTAAATGTTTGCTTTATAGATTATATTCTATGGCTGTTTGTACTTTTCTTTTTTTTGTTTAGTTTTGGTGCTGAACATGTCCTTGTAGACTCTGTTTCAAGAAAACATGTGGAAAACAATTTAATTTTTCCTATTGCTTTTCCTTGTGGAAAAAAAACTTTTGTAAAAAAAAAAAAAAAAAAGAACACCACCTTCTAAATGTCAGAACTTTTTGATACTTATACAGCTTATTCAAAACATGTCTGTGTATAAAATAATAGCCACGAGGGTCTTGCAGTACAGGCATTTATCACAGGGACACATGCACTGTGTGTCTCAGACGACACGGGTGTTTGTAGAACTACACTGAGTACCACAAAGTCCAGTTTTGGCACCCTTGGTCACATGAGTGACCTCCGAGGCCAGGTCTCCAGTAGCAAACGGTGATGTCCTGCATCAGGAAGTGCCAGTAACCGTCAGGATCTGCGTCCCTTCCCCTGATGTCTTGTTTGCGTGTTGCTGTGGTGGTGGTGACCCTCGCTCCAGCTGTCCGCTCCTTTCCAGGGCGTGGGGAAGGGGGACAGCTTCAGCGGTCCCTCGGGCTATGGGGTTTGGTGGTGTGGGGTGGAGGAGGTGTGCTCTCTGCTGTTGCTGTGGCGTGAGCAGACGCTGGCCCTGCCGGCCCGCGCTCCGCGCCAAGGGCTCGTGGAGCCCTGCGAGGGGTTGGTGGAGCTCTGCGCAAGCTCTTTTCAGTGGTGCCCAGCGACAGGACAAGGAGCAATGGGCACAAACTGAAGCATAGGAAGTTCCGTCTGAACATGAGGAAGAACTTCTTCCCTCTGAGGGTGACGGAGCCCTGGCCCAGGCTGCCCAGGGAGGCTGTGGAGTCTCCTTCTCTGGAGATATTCAAGGTCTGGTGCCTGGACAAGGTCCTGTGCAGCCTGCTGTAGGTGACCCTGCTTGGGCAGGGGGTTGGACTAGATGACCCACAGAGGTCCCTTCCAACCCCTACTATTCTGTGATATTCTGTGCGCAACGCAAACAGCAGCACCTTCCTGTGGGAAACGGAGCCTTCCAGCCTGGCCTTGAGTTCGTCAGTGGTGGAGAGCCCAGGCAGGCTTCGGGAGGTTTCGTCCCCTCTGAATAACGCTGTTTGTCATTTCTGCCTGATTCTTGGTTCTAATCAATAAGCAAAAAATAGGTTGTCTCCCATCTTGCTCGTCTGCTTGGAACTGCTTTGCTGAGTGACAGAATATTTGTTTTCTGGTATCAGCACAACCCTGCTCAGTAACCAAGTTTCTGTCGCTGCGTAGCAGTACTAGTAATCAAACTCGCATCGGCATCATTTGCGGGGCATGCACTTCTAGCAGTTCTGTGCAACGTTTTCCTGAAATCTCACATTTTTAGACCAACACCTCCACTTAATGATTAGACTTAGCTTTACTGGCGTTATTATAAAGTTGAAATATCAATGTTTTATTCTTCACGATCTGATTTCTTAACGCAAATGTTTCTTATTTTTTGACATAACACACCCGTGCGTACGCAGACATCTGTACTACACAAACGTGAACACCGGCGGCTCTTCCCCCTCCGCTGTCCGTAGAAGTGCCTGAGCACCTGAGCTGCTGAGAGGCACAAGGCAACGCTGCAAAACTGAGCAATGCCTCTTCTGGCAGTTCTCCAGCTGAAACACGTACCTAGCACCTTCTGGCCCCTTTCTAGATTTAAGCCTTTTTGTCATTCACGGAAATGAACCCATAACTCGCCACAGACTCCAGCTGCCCCGGCTTCCCACAGCACAGCCACAAGCGCAAAGCCCAGCTGCGGGACTGTGGAAGGGTCTCCAGAAGCACACAATCACAGAATAGTAGGGGTTGGAAGGGACCTCTGTGGGTCATCTAGTCCAACCCTCCT